GAGGGGGAGGGAAGCGAGCGGGCGCGGCCGCCCTTCCTTGTCCTTCTTTTCCTTTCCCTTCCCTTCTCCCCGCACTGCCCCCCCCTGCCCCGGGGCCTTTTCCCTCGCCGCCGGTGGGGGCGGTGCGGCCCGCGGCCTCTCTCCAGCCGCGGCCTCGTGCGAGGGTGTTCCCTGCGGCCTAGCGCCTGCGGCGCCGGGCCGGGGCGCCGGGAGCGTTCCCGCCGCCTCAGCGGGAGCCGCGGGCCGCTCGTTATTGTGCGGGAACGGGCCCGCGGCGCTCGGCGCAAGAACGCCGTGTGAAAGGAAGTCCCGCAGCCGCGTTCCGCAAAGCGCGACAAAGCAGGAAACGCGACGTAATTTAAATTGTTGTGCGTTTCAATCGAAATTTAAAACTGGGGGTTAGCTCGCGATTGAGGTAGCGAAAGTTGTTTATTAAAGCGGAAAACAGGAATAGGCTGTGACATGTTACAGAATGTGCGAAGTGGCCCTGCCTGTGTCACACAGAGGTTCTGTGTGCTGCGTCATTTCCTACCCGTGTTTTCCTTTAAGCTATATTTCTGATAAATCTTCTCTCTGGGGTTATGCAAGCCGTCCTGCGTGTTTTTAAGCTTGCCAGATGGACTATTTTTAAACCTACAATTCTGGTCGGTTGGCAAGCAGAAAGGAAGTTAAAACAGTTTTGTGAACGGAGACACATATTAGTTAATATAAAAGCAAGTAATAATCCAAGATTGAAATCGATGAGTGTCTCCTGATTTTTAAAGATTTTATTTATTTAATAAATTAAATTACATCTAACTTGTTTGCGGACAAATAAATTCTAAGTCACTAGGAAGCAAAAAGGAACATCCCTTTGTTAGGAAAGAAGAGGCTCCGGATCTTGATTGGGTTCTTTAGAACCTCTTCTGCTTGCTGTTTTCCCCGTTTGTTTCGGCGGCAGATTGCAGCAGCCGCTGCTCGGCTTTCGCAGGGAGCTCGCTGGCCAGATCTGTGTTCGGCGTGCCCCGCGCTGTTTGAAGCGTCCCTGCTCGCCCTTGCTGCTCGTCAGTTTTGGCTGGTGCCTCGCGAACTGCTCCCCTTCGGGAAGCTCCGTTCAGCAGCGCTCTGGGGGGGGCTCCTGAGGGCAGAGCGTTTTGCCTGTGAATCCCCGGGTTAATGTTTGGTGACAGTAATGAGGAAATGACCGGGAACCGTGCTTAGCTCAGCTTTAACTGAGACGTAAGGTCAGTGCTCTCTCTATTTAAGTTTGCCTCGTAATTTCTGAAGATCGAAAAGCTCAATTAGGCAAATTGGATTCGTGAGACAGCAATGGAATAGGCACAGATGCAGGATCGATTTATTGACGACAGCGACTGCATAGAACAGAAGCAGTTAAGTTCATCAGTGCCCTGCAGTGCAGAGAGTCGAGGGAATATATTTATATTTAAACACTCAGGCCGAATGAGAAGCTAAAGCTACTCTTTTGTAATGGTTAATGTCCTTTAATTTGAGATTAAACAATGGGATCTTGGCCTTGGATCTAATGAACATGTCCATTCTTTGTTCTCTTTGCCTAATCCTGCTAGTTATCCCATTGCTTGCTTTATTAATTTTTATGGGACCATTCAAATTGGAGGGAGAATAGCTTTACTGAGGCTTTAAAGTGAAATTAGCAATTTCAACTTGCCCTTCTAAGAACCTATGATAAAAGTTTTGGATTTCTATGTTTTGTTGCGATAGGATATATTCATATTTAGGAAGATATGTTTCTTACTGTTAAATTTTGGTTTACCTTTATGAGTGAGCTGGAGGATTTAACAGTGAGATGAAGAAGTTAAATTTCAAAATGCAGGTTTTTAGTGTAGGAGGTAGAGCAGTTTCTGTTTGGGTAACACTGTACTTTTTTTTTTTTTTTTTTTTTTTTTTTGTTCACAGGCATTTTTAGTTGAATTGTCATAGGGGTGACAGTAAATGCTGCCTGAAAAACTTTTGGGCGACAGTCCCTTCAGTATAAGGAGCTAGCACATGATGGCTGGTGCAGAAATGCTGCTGTTTTATGGAAACTGGAAGGCTTAAAATTGGTACCATAAGTTCTTACTGTTCCTTTGAATATCTGATATGATAAATAGGTTGGTTAATGAGTTCTAATATACCAGTGTGATATCCTTGGGATGGATGATTAATATCTCAGAGTGAGAGACACTATGACTCAGAAGAAGGACTTTGGTTTCTCCTATGCATACAGTTTTGCTGATGTTTTTCTGTTTTTCTTGCAGCTAAAGTTTAGAAGTCTCAGGGTGAAATATGGGAAATTATGTTCTTATGTTCCCTGAGAGACGATGAAAAAGTGAAAAAGGTTCTTTTTTTTTTTTAACTTTTGTGGTTTAGCAGTTTTCAAGGCTTGTCTTTTGTAAAAATTTATAGTATTTTAATCTGGAATAAATGGCAGGGGAACAAAGCTAATTCAGAACTTCATTATTAGTATGATCTTTTTCTTATTGATGTATTTGAAATAAAAAAAAGAATGGATGTCCTTACCAAGCTCCTCAGTCTTTCCAGTTCAGATGGCTACATGGTTTTATTGAGCAGTCCTATAGCCAATCTTTTTTTTCCAAAGGCTTGACACAGTTTGTTCTGTGCTTGTGTTTTCCAGATGTCATGGGACATTAAAAGTCATCAGGCTGATGTAAACAAATTGCATTTCTTTTTTGTTTTAGAATTGAGTGTAAATAAAACCCATAGCAACTAAGTGCTGTACTTTGAGATCTGTCAATGTCTTTGTACCTTAGCTGTTCTTCCTGAAAACCTGGGTCAGGTGTTTTTTTCTTTTCATGTGAAGAGTGTGCATCAGTAAAGTCAGGCCTCCTTAATTCCATGCAGGACACAAACCTTCTGACAACCTCCCTGGATTGCCCCTTTCATGGCTGCTCTGGGCTGCATCCCCTGGTAACTTCTGAAGGCGGTTATGGAGAAGGGACAATGAGCTAAATGTTGTAAAGATCAACTTTTTCTTTTTTTTTTTCCCTTTTACTAACTCCAGCAGAATTTCATTGGCAAGTAATGTGGCTGAACACCCAGGAGCTGTGCTAGAGCAGCATGCTTAGCCTCTTTGCTGCTGCCTTCTTCACGGGAATTCTCAGTCTCTGTATGGCACCTGAAGAAGCTAATGGCTGCAGATGGATGTTACCCTGAGCTTCCCCATCTGCTCGTCGTGACAGTGTCTTGGGTTTTGAAGGAGGTTTGCTGTTGGCTGTAACATTCTAATTTAGCTGAACCAGTAGTTTGATAAAACAAATTAGCATCACCTGAAAGCAGAATCCTGAAGTAAAGAACAGAATACATCTGAATAAAGAAATGCATTGCAAGCTTCCAAAGCTGTAGAAGGAAGCTTTGCCTATTGAGAAATACCCATGAAAATCAGGATATGCTCTTTTGATCAAGGCATTCATAACTAGACATGTGTTGAACCTTTTTCAGTGATAAAATGCCAGTGCAGGCAATTACTCATTTTGTCTAGTTGCTCCATTTGTTGGTGTCACTGATGTTTTCTACAATCATACAGTGAACTGAACTGGGGAAGTCATCTGGGCTTGGACCGTGATGACTTCTCTAGTCTGGCTCCTCAAGCAGCTTAACCAAATTATACTTGTATATTTGAATTGGAAAGACAGAGAGCACTGCCACAGTAAGGGCTTTTTTCAGTGACAGCATCACAGACGCTCAGAGAAAATCCAATTATATACTTGTCTTGATCTAGTTTTATCTTTTCAGGTGAAATTACATGTGTTCTCTCATTACTTGACCAAATACAAATTTCAGATGTCCTTCTATGTGTCTGTGTGTAAGGCAGATAACTCATATATTTCTCAGTGTTAAGGGTGCTTTTTCCCTATAACCAGAATGAAGAGGCTGGTATTGCTGTTGAGTAGGGTTAAATTGAATACTCTGTGTAAGTAAAGATGCTCTCCAAAATAAATTTCATTGTCTTACCCTAAAAATAATGCATTCTATTTTTTTGACTTGGCCAAAGTGTTTTAGCCAAACACTGCAATGTGATATGTTCTTTGTGACCTTAAAGTAAAAATCTTACCTCTTGTTGAGGGGGAGGGTTGTGGAAGAAGTTGGGGTGTAATCCTAAGAGAAATACATTTTTTTCCCCTCCTACTCCAGCCTTCTTGTTCAAATAATGCTGAGTTTGCTGCATAGGATTGAGGGCCTTTAAGAGTGATGTATAAATTAGAGCCTGGAGTGTTTCATGTTTATTTTTTGCCCTTTATAGCCTACCATTTCAATATAATAAATTGTGGCAACTTTCAGAATTACATAGAATCTGGATTTGCTGACTATTTTCTGATGTAAAATGGGAAGGAAGGAAGGAAGGAAAGGGGTTTGGAGCTTCATTTTCCCTATCATGCCATGGGAGAGTCTAATTTTGGGGCTTATAAGCCATGTTGGCTAAATAGTTTCTATCAGATGTCCTCACTTCAGGCAGGAGCTTTTCTGTCAGTCACTTATTTCAGCTGTAGTGGTGTCTCAACACTTGGCTGGCTTAAGGAGCAGTGGCTGTGCAGACTGGTTGGGCGGTGATCTGATCCAGATTAAAAATAACCATGGAGGCAGCAAAAGGAATGTCAGGTCCCATTGCAGCCATTTCCTGGTCTGTGGCAGCCAGTGGCTGTGAAGTTGCTGCCCCAGCACTTGGGGGAAGCGATGCTGTGTGGAAATACGCAAAGGGTGGACATAACACTTGTTAAAGAACAAACCTTAAGCAATCTGAAATATTTTTTCTACCCTTTCAGTGTGACTCCCATTTCGTAAAAGCAATCAAGCCAGAAATTCCAGTTAGATTCTAGTTGCATGACTTCATGGGTGGTTAGGTTTGTTTTTGATTTTGTTAGGGGGGCTTTTTTTGTTTGTTTGGGGAAGAGGGGATGTTAAGTATGGGCGTTTTTTTTGGTTGGGTGTTGGTTTTTTCCTTTTGACATGGGTCTTCATTGGTGGTTTATGCTGTTGGGTGGGTGAGTGACTTTTAGGGGGTTTTGTGTGTTTTTTTGTTCACAGTGGAGATTGCTGGTTTTGTAGCAGGGATGGGCCTTGTTCTCTTTTTGTAACACTCTGTTCCTGCTGGCTTAGCTGTTTGTGCCTCCACCTGACCCTGCAGACCTCATCTGGGTCTTCTACTGCTTGTTTTTTAGGTAGGATCACTTTTCTTACCTGGTCAATTTGTCTGCAGGGTACATACAGGTGGTTTGGAGTGTGAATTGGAGCCTCATGGCAAGTGTCAGTTTGCGTTCTGTTAAGCTAGTTGAGATTTTTTTTTATTCTTGGTATGTTGAATACACCACTGGTATTGCATATGGATGGTTATCAGCTCTCTAAACACTCAACCTCAGGTTTTAATATTTCCCTAAAACTGGATTGCAGATGTAGCTCTACTTATGTCATTTAGTGCATTGTTCACTGGCTTTATCTGACTTCTTAAAAATACAGTAGCCTAAATGTTTGTGTAGAAGTGTATGCAGTTCAACATCTTATCACCTTTCCTGGCCAGGAATATCAGCTTGAGTGTACTGTTCTGGAAGAGCTGTCCTAATCTTAGTTGTGACTGCTGAAAGATGATCCCCGTCTCTTGTGCTGGCTGTGAGGCTGCACTCAGCTGCTTGGAGGGCCTGATTCTGCTGGCTCTGCAAAGTGCTGGAAGTGTGTAACAGGAGGAGGGCAGGACTGCCCCATTCAGCAGCAGCGTGGGCTTAGACGGGTATTATCTGCTTCTCAGCCTTGCCTAAGGTAGTGTTTAGTATGAGACCTAAATCCTCACGTATTTTCTTGTTTACTAGCTCTTCCTATATCCAGTGGGTTCAGAGTTTGCAGCTTGTTGTCTGGAGGCAGTGCGGCTCCTTTCTAAATTGAAGTGTTGGTAAACATTTATGGACTCAGTTTTTACACAGGGTGGTTTTTGTTTTGGTTGTTTTTTTTTTTTTTTTTTGTTTGTTTGTTTGTTTTTGGGGTTTTTTTTCCTTGGCTAATACTTATATGTGGATTGGGAAAGGTTTACTTAAACTTTTCAGTTGTAGTTTTGAACATACTGAATCTGAACAGTTATGGTGCATTGAATTTCTAGAGGCTTGTTCTTCTAGGTTAAAATTGAAAAATTCTTGGAAACCACTCTACAGTTCTCATGAATAACTGAATTGAAGATGCTGAATTGAAGGTGCTACTTGACATGCTAAAATTGATCAAACTATACTCAAAAGCTTTGAAACTGTCCAAGTTTTCAAGACAAGCAGCACAATATTGATTTATTTGGCTCCTTCCGCAGGAACTAATGTGTGTGTTTTGTCAGATGTAATTATCCATCACAAACATGATTTTCGTTCTTGGAGAGGAAATCACATTTGATTGAATGATTTATGAATCTAGAATAGATTTACAACCTTGGGTGATTTAGGGTGTGTCTGGATTTGAGTCTTATATCCTTTGCTGGGTTTCTGTAAGGTTTTTGCTGGTGTCAGGACACAGGGGCTACAAGTAAAACTTTTTGCCAATCTACTTGGTCCAAGACTTTCCTCTTAGTGTCACAGTCCAGGATAACTTTGCTTTTACAGGTTTGTGTTTTTTCCCCAGGCTTTTGTAAGAGCAAGTCCCTAAATGTGCAGCACAGTTCACTGGAGTAGCTGAGGCTTCATCTTTCCTCAAATGTTCTTATTTTTATGGTTATACTGGGGTAGGGTCCCATGAGTCTTTAGTGCTGTTGTTAATACAGCATGCCTTGATTTATAGAATAATAAGATCATCCAAATATTTTTGCAGCTTCAGTACTCCTCCTTAACACCATTATCTTTTCTCACAGATACTTCATGCATGGAGTCTGCAAGGAAGGAGACAACTGCCGCTACTCCCATGACCTCTCCACCAGTCAGTCTGCCATGGTGTGCAGGTATTACCAGCGAGGATGCTGTGCTTATGGAGATCATTGCAGGTAAAGAAATGCCCCATGCAATCCTGCAGAAAGCTTTGCAGTCTGAATCCTTGTGTAGAGAGCTCAGGGAAAAACAGTAAATCTTAGTGCTTTCCTTTTCCATTGCAACTTCAGGTATTTTTAAAAATAGCTTTTCACTGACTCTCTTGTCTTGCTAAATACCAGTGTTTGCTGTGCAAAAAAATGAGCAAAGGCAAGGTGATAACGGTTTTCGTAAAAGTGATAGTTGTCAGTACGGGGAGTTTTCTTATTTTTTAATAATAACATTGTTAGATTAATTGAAATCTGAAATTGCATTCAGACTAGCTGAGTGGATGAAAATTAGTTACTCTTTTAAGTGATCATAAAAGCCTGAACAGGTAAGAATTTATTTTCTTTGTGTTTTTTCTTGAGGAATTGTACGCTGCCACTGGAACTACCATTTTGGGAAAGTAACTAGAGTTTGTCATATAAGTTCTAAGATCTTGCCTGTACAAAACAGCTTTATGAAAACATACTACGAATTGATCGATACCCCTGAAATTACAATAAAAAAGAAATGGTGAAGAAGAAAAACAGATACTTTCCTAGTGGAGCAAAGCTTTACAAGGGCTTAGGAATGTTTCATAATTCATTTCATTAAAACTTACCAGAAGTTTTAACATTCTTTCTTATTGCAGTTTGCATCATTATTTTGCATCATTATTTTATATGGTAGCTCATAGTTAGCTTTGCTTTCATCTTTCATAAAGGGTTACTATATGTAGTAAAGATAACAGAGGATGCTTCTCTGTAGTCTTCTATCTGCCAGTGTGTTTTTTTGATTGTGTAGATCAGTGGTCTTCCAGCTTTGGGTCATGCACCCCATCAGTTCAATATTTTTGAGTTCCCACCAACATACACATTTATTTATAATTTATATGGATGTATCTAGATCTACTACTGTACTGATGTTATGTACATTATAAAACATAACCCAGAACCTGAATTTTTAAAAAGGTGTATTAAAAGTTAAATGAAAAATATTTAATTAATATTTTATAAACAGTCCAAAGCAATTTTTATTGTCACTAAAAGCCTGATTTGTAATAATATTTTTTTACTGACAGTAATGTTGATTCAGTGGGCTTTTTATTGTTTAAAATCTCAGTGTAGCATTTTGTGATACAAAATTTTGGTTATTTGAAGGTCTTGTTCGAAGTTCAGTTTATTTCAGTCCTTGGTTTTAATGGTAGTGGTAGCTGAAAAAGATCTTTCACAAAGATACACACATCCAAAAGGAAGTGTACTGTTGGCTGCAGGTACTAATGTGTAGTAAATTTAGCTGGCAAGTTTCCACCTTCTCTGATGTCAATCAGCTGTTAGTGCAGATTAACTGGAAGGTGTTGCATTTTTGTATTTTTAGCAAATGGGTCCAACATACACTGGAATTCTGATTTTGAACGATTTTTAAACATGTTAGAGAAATCACTTTCCAAGTTTAAGTGTGCAAGATATGAAAGGGTTTTTGTAGTTGACACACTTGGGTAGTTCTTGGCAATAAAATCACATAATGGTGGAAATACTTCATTTTCAAAGTGTTGTGTCCGTACTACAAATTGCAGCGGCAGCTGGCCTGGAAGGAGAAAGCAATTGCTGCTTCGGGATGTCCCTGCTAGCTGTGGCCAGCACCGCCAGCAGCAGTGGGGCACTCTGCCGTTCCTTGCTCCGGTCAGGAGAGCGCCTAAGGCTTTCGTCTTGAGGGACGAGGGTCAGTGAGAGATAGAGACGGACTCCAGCTGTAGCAAAATCCGGGTTTATTGGCTCCAGGCGGACTGACAGCTGAACACCCCAAATTGGGGCCTGACGCCAACTTTTACGGAGGGGAGGATACAGAGGTGGAGTCTGGTCTTCAACTAATCAGAGAAAAGGTGGGAGTGGGGTGAGGGTGACTGATAGAGCAGAATAACCAATAGGGAAAAGCCTGGGGAGGGGCCCTGGCCCGTGAACTAATCACTCGATGCCCTGGCTGGAAGATTCTATAGGAAAAGGATGGGTCGCCGAGTGATGGACAGGGCACCAGGGAGGGACTAGGGAACAGATACCTAGGTTGCCAAGGGGAACGGGGAGGAGAAAACTGGATTGACAGGGCGAGCGAGGGAAGAGAGAACCAGGGCAGAACCACTGCAAACAAGGGGGTACATGGAACAAACCAATTTACAACTTAACAGTGCTAAAGCATACAAAACACACTACAACAACAAATTTCCTTCAGAAAGTCATTATCTGTTCGTAGAATGACTTTATCTTGGAGAGACAGTTGGAATGTGGTTGGGTTTGGTTGATTTGGGTTTGTTGGTTTGGTTTTTTTTTTTTTAATACCTGCTCAGCAGCATACTGCTGGCACTGACTTGTCATCACAAAAAAAGGTAGCAAATTTGCAGCACTTGTCTTTGTGAAATATACATGCATAACTCATCCATGACAATTTTGAAGTGTTTTGCCATGAGATAATCAGCAAACATCTGTGTGGTACAGAAGATTTTCCTGGTAGCTCTCCACCTCATAACTGCAGTGAGCATTTGACTATTTAAAGGTCTATATTGATGACATTTTCTAGTGTCACTTGGCTGCTTCTGAATGCATCTTTACTACAATACCTTGCCTGTGAATGATGCAGCGATGAATTTCTGGTGGGGTGCTACCCCTGTATCCTTACCCTGCAATCTCTTATTGTGGTCAGAGCAGCTGCTGCTTCAGTGGTTTTACTTGCACAGTTTTTTTCCATAATGCATTGTTTTTATTAAAGTAAATGTATGCTATTAAGAAGATACTTCGTCCAGTGAATCTTCGTCTTTGTTAAGGAAGTAATTTGTTGAGAATGTTTCTCTACTGGTACATCTTTTCTTTGGTGTCTCACAAAAAGTAGTTCATATTGAAACAGAATCTAGCAAGTGTCATAAGCTGAGATGTGAAAAACATATGTACTTTTCCTTCTGCCATGCACTTCCCACTCTGCACAATTTATTCTACTGCTTGTTTCTTCAAACTCTAGCAGTGTTTTCTATGCATTTCCCAACAGTATTTGCTGACAAAGGAATGCATTGACTTTGTCACCATACTGATTTCCATGAGTTATTTCAGTCATTTTTACCACAGCAGGAAGACAGAGTGGTCCAGTGGTATACGGCTTTTTGTCTTTCATTGTTATGTAACAAGCCTCAAAAGAGGTTTAGAAACCCTTACTGTAAAGTTCTGCAGAATACTGGATTGAGTAGCACGTTACTTGAAACACCTTGGAAAAAAATTGGAGGTTTGTCTTTGTATTCCAGATGTTCTGATTTTCAATGCCTTGCTAATTGAGATGGCTTCATCCTTTCAGTAGCTAATATCTCAAGGTACAGCATACAGTGAGGGCATGGTTTTTCATTAATAATAGTCAGTGTAAATCCATATTTCAGATTGCCTTCTTGGTAATCTTGATCTCTTCTGTGGTTCCCGTCCCCCTGAGTTCAAGAGCTGATTAGGTTGGCATTGTTTTGCTTCATAGTGTGGCTGATGAGGAGGTGGTAGTAGGAATAGAACTGCTAGCTCTTGGCATTTTCTTGTTGGCTTTTGCTGGCATTATCAATGCTGCCCTCAGCCCACAGATGATCCTTTCAAGACACTTGTTCACTTTGTCAGGGCTGGTTTAGGTAAAACAAGATCAGATAATCTGTTGTTCCATTAACTGGGCACTAGGAAAGTTCAATATGTCACAATGTGCTGAAAGTGAGCAGACAAGGGGGTGCCACTGTCAACCCACTGGGTAATGGAACACCTTCTCCTTCAGGGCACCTCACACGTACCGCAAGTGGGCTCTCTGACGTATGGCCTGTGAGAACACTGCCATCAACATGTATTGTAATAGTAATAGTAGTAATTTATTGTATTTTTAAGAGGGAAAAAATCCACTAAGTTCTAGTATTTTCTTCCTGCACCCCATTGGGTTGCTTTGGGCACCTAGTATGCATGCTCTTTGGAGGCCACAGATGTAGAGATCTGAAGGCTAGAATTTCAAATTTGTACTCCTACTTTGTAGGAGTAGGATTTTCAAGCTGATATTTGGTTTGGAGCACGTCTTTAATATGCAAGAATTGTGACACTTCTTTGTTTTTAATCTGACACAAGCTAAGTGAATCACAGTCACTTCAAACTTCTGTATGATCTCAAAAGATTCCTTCCTGTTGTCCTTGAAATTAGTCAGCAAATATCTAAGACTACAATAGTATATTTGTCATTTATTTTCCCTATATAATCTCCTAGTTGCTGGAAGACAGATTTTTGAGGGAAATGGTGCCTTCCTGTTTATTGTGGATGGTAGGGTTAAAAGGGTTCTGATTATAATTTTCCACAATAAGCTGAAATAAGAACAAGCACTCAAATTCAGTGTAAAATCTGCATGAGGCAAGATGCTGAGACACAGGAAAAGAATAATTTTTGTTGGTGGGGAATCTCTGAGTCTGTGCCAGCTGAGGCCAGGTTGCCCAAGGCATTGTCCAGCTTCTGCAAGCATGAAGATTGTGCACCCATTCTAGTGTTTAACTACTCTTAGAACAAATTTTTTTCCTAATTTTCATAACTGTAACTTCCCAGTTTGGACTGGTGTCTACTGACTGTCATCCTGTTACTGCACCTGTTAGAAGACTCTGGCTGATCATTCCTGTGGTTCCTGTGAGGTAGTTGGAGACAGCTGTGTCTGTCCTGAACTGGATAAACTGGCTCATATATATAAAGCTGGATAAACTCATTTTTCTCATTCAGCAATACTAAACATGTGTAATAGGTAACTGACCTCTTTGGGACATATTTGAAGATTGTTCTGTGTGTAAGAACTGTGCTCTTTTTTTCTCCAAAATTTCAGAGTACCTTGTGTTTTCTTGAACAATGGCTGACAGATTGCACAAGTGGAAACATTTTTCTATGAAGGGTCATCAGTGAGTTTCTCATTCTAGCCATTTCTGGGTCCTTCTTCCAAATAGCATGTTCACATCTTCATTAGTTTGTTTTCAGTACATGGGGCTGCTGTCTGGAGGTACTTCTTTGTGGAAAGTTGACATGATGTGTTTTAACTTTTAGGTATGAACATACCAAGCCACTCATACAGGAAGAAGTGACTGATGTTAACCCAGAGGCAGAAATCTATCCATCGGTGTCCTCAGAGTTTGCATCGCTCCCTGAAACAGTTGAAGAATTTATTGCTGAGATAGAAGATGAAAATACAGATCTGGCAGCAGCAGGAGTAGGGGCTGAAGACTGGGTGAATGCAGTGGAGTTTGTTCCTGGGCAGCCATACTGTGGACGTGGTAAGCTGATCATGGGATAACAGTGAATTTCCATCATGGCTCAACAGTTTCTGTGTAGTGCATTTATTTTAATGCATTTGAGTACAGCTATTCATATTTATTGATCAGTTCAAATGAGCTTGGGTTTTCCAGTGTGAGTAGCTGGACTGACTGTTTCATTCTGAAACCAGGTATATTTCAGGTCAGTCTCTGCATGACTGGCTTTCTCTTGCTATGTTTCTGAATGACTTGAGAATGTCCTTTGAAGTTGAGTTTGCATATGGGATGGGAGAGGAAATTACTGGTGATAAAATTCATATTACTACTCTGGAGAGATAATCTGCCTTTGTATTTTGCGTTGGCTGATTTGGTTTGGGGTGGTTTTGCAGTCTTTCAAAGGTTTTTTGGTGAAGTTACGGATTCTTGTAGAAGGAATTGAAGCCTAATGCTTACTTTTGTGAATCCCATGGCCAGAGGCTGAAAATTATTTTTTCTACTTAGTTTTCTGGAACTCAGCTTTCTAATACTGTGACAGCTCACTATGAGAATGAGACTGAAGAAACTTATCAAATGGGACCACACTATTTGAGTAGCATACTTCTTACCCGTTTTTCCTGCCAAAATGTAACAAGTCTTCAAACTGAAGGGAAAAGTAGGCTGAAGGTGTTCACTTTAACATAATTTCTAATACTTGTCTCTCGAAGGCATGAGGAGGCTATCAGTACTTAAATGTTTGAATTCAAAATGGACACCTTGCATCTAGAAGAATTTGACGATGTCATGGAGTGTTCAGATTATACTGCTTTGTCTCCATGGCACTGCTCAGATTCTCAGATTTGGAAAGAGAATGACCTTCTCAGTATTACAGGGTGCTGCTTGGAGTGTCCTGCCATCCTGTTTGAGGAGAGTGAAGAGGAATGGTCAAGTGACAAACTGTTTGCTAATGTTGTTGAGAAGTTTGATTATGGGATTGCGTAACAGATCTGTGAATTTGAGTATAACCCAAAGGAGTGAAAACTTGACCGCTACCTGTGAATGTGCCACCTTACTGTCGTGAAAGATAGAGCTTCTGTGCTTGTTGAGACAAAGGATTTTTTAAAATATTTTAATCAGAATATCATATTTAGATTGGAAGGAACCTCTGGATTTCATCTAGTTAATTTCCTGCTTAAAGGTTGCCAGGGGCTTTGTTTAGTTGAATCTCTATCCTCAGAGATGTTCAAAGGGCTGTAACCTCTGGGTATCCTTTGTGGTGTTCAGCTTCTTTCACAAAGAAAGCCTCTTTCCTAGTATGTAATTGGGTTTTTCCTTGCCTCAGCTTGTCTTCTGTCTCTCGTCATTTGCACATCTGAGAAGAGTCAGTCTCTCTTCTTGGGAGTCAACCCCGTTAATGACTGGCTGGCCCTCCACTGGAATCCATTCATTGCTAGTTTGGACAGCCAGAGATCTTTTAAATACACAGTCCTTACAGAAGAGCTGGTGCTTCTTCCTGAAGACTAAGTCACTACACTGTTAACTTAGTATTGCTAAAGCAATTTTTTTTTCTAGGCATTAGGCATACTTTTCATGCAAAAATGTGCAAGATTAAGTTCAGTAGCATTCTCTTCTGTGAATCTTGTTGTGTTTTATAGCTTTTGAAACTTGATGTAAACATACTCATCTGTTTCTGTTCTGAACAGTGCTACATGATGCTAATTCCCATGGTGACTTTATTAAAAAAGCTTCACATTTCTGAAGCAACTGTCTTTATTAAGCTACAGAAATTAAAATGCATGCAGTGTGTTCTGTAGTGTATGCCTTAAAGCAGATTATTCTTGTCAAATTGCTGGAGAAATGTACAGATACTTGGAAAGCACAAAATGAAATCTATTTCTCAAGGTTCTGTAGAAGCCTGTGTGTTTAAAATTTTCTTTAAAATGATAAAGATTCAAGGGTGGCAGTTTAGCCATGCATAGGTGGGACTATAATGCTCACCTTTTACCACGATTCTCTGATTTGGAACTAAACCTGGTATCTTGAAGATGACTTCAGGACCTAGCAGAGAAAATAGTGGTGATTCTTCAAGTGTTCACTTGTTAGTTGTACAGATGTGCCACATTTCCATACTTGTTCTGCAGTAACTGAGGAAGAGTAGAAAGGCAGAAATACAAGAAACAGTAAATTGGGTGTCTGTTTCCTGCTACTGAAAGATTAATGTGTTTAATGCTACGAAGTGTGTTCTAAGTGCAAGCAAGGTGGTGTGTGGATCAAAGTTAACAAACCGGTTTTTCCGCTAGTATGAATTTAACCCGGTTGACTGGGAAATGGGCAACGAGAAGGTGGGGATTGAGTCCACCTGCTGGTGAGCAGAGATTTGGAAACAGCAAACAATCACAGAGAACAAATGTTACTCTGAGGGATGTTGGATTTGTAACTGCTGAGGCAGTAAAGTCTTCTGAATTTTTCTAATTGTGGTTTCAAAGAGGAAGTAAAACTGTAGCTGTTACAGTGCAGAAGATAAAGAAAATACATATGCTGTCCCAGCCTCACAGTAAAGAGTTTCTTTATATATCTAATCTAAACCCACCCTTTTCCAGGTTGAATTTTAGATTGAAACCATTACCCCTTGTCTTATTACTTCATGCCTTTGTAAAAAGTCCCTCTTCACCTTTCTTGTAGGCCCCCTTCAGGTCCTGGAAGGCTGCAGTAAGGTCACCCCGGAGCCGTCTCTTCTCCAGGCCGAACAACCCCAGCTCTCTGAGCCTTTCCTCATAGGGGAGGTTTTCCATCCCTCTAACCATCTTCATGGTCCTCAACTAGGTAAAAAAATCTGTGACAACATTAACTTGAGCAAACAATGGCAAATGCAACAGTTGAGGGACTAAAAACTGAATGGTAGTTGTGATTTTTGTTATTTCTTATGGAAGTGGAGACCATGGATTTCAAATGGGAGGGCAAGTGGGATTTCAATAAGTACATATTTTCTTGTTCTGCTGAGCTACTCAGGAGAGAATGTAGAGCCTAGTACATAGTTTCTTGTCACTTTTCTTGGTGCTAGTTCACTAAAACTGATGGGGAAGAAGAACTAATGGACATAACTTTGGAAATCTCGGTCTGAAAATGAGGAGATTGCTAGGTGACTTGTTCCTCAGTTACTCACTTGCTTTGAAAAGTATGTTTCTAACAAACAGACTTCTCCAGGATCACTGAGTGACCACTACAGTCTGAGATGGTTCAAGAAGGAGACTTGATCTTGAGAGCTAATATTTTGCTACACTAAATTTCAATATTTGCTTATTCCTCAAAACTTAAGTTGCAGGGTCATGCATTTTCTTTTTCTTTTTCCTAAACTAACAGAATGATACATGCCTGTTATGTGTTTGCTCCATGGGGATGAAAACTGTGCAAGTTTGCAGCCTCTGATTAATTTTGAGGAGTCTGTCCTTCACTTTAACTGATCAAAGTATGCCCTTGGTAGTTTTTGCTTGCTTCTCCAAATTTAGTGCTTGAACAGCTTCTAAAAGTTACACTTTCTTATAGCATCGATGACTTGCTACTCTTGTAACAGCTTCTGGTTATGTAAATGAGCTCCAGCTGCTGTTCTTCCTGGTGTTTACTCTGAATATAGTAGTCCTTTATGTTTATTACACCTTCAGTTTCTCACTGACTGCTTTTGTCTTCTAATCCAGTCATCATCCTACTTATATAACAATCTCAGAAGGCTGACTTGTGGTGAGGCAGGCAAGCATGTGTTTGAGGTACAGGGAGAAGTGTTCAGCAGTGGCTTTCTAAAGGGGGAAGAGAAAAGATACAGATTTCAGTTCAGTTTAGGTAAGGGAATTTACTTAGGATTTTGCAAAACTGATAGCCATCTTAGAATGCAGTGATAATAGCCTGAATTTCAGTTTCATGTGTCTGGCTAATTGACCAGATAACTGTTTAGGACAGGGGTTTTTTGCAAATATGTAGGGTGGAGTTAATTTGGGAGATGTGAACACCACTTTTCTATCAATCCTAGAGATGCATGGGAGTCCAGAAATGAAAGTTTGTTCAGGCTAAAGAACAGTGTGCTAATTAGCCTGCACATAAGGAATTGCTGATGTGGTATTGCCATACTAGCATTTTTTTATGCTGGATACACCTTTATTATTTCAGCTGTGTAATTTCTGGGGAAAAACTTTTAACTTTAGCTGATGTGAAAATTTTAAGTAAAGTGAAATTGATTCTAAAAGGAGTGAGAGATTTGTAGCCTTATTTAATGATTGCTGAACCAGAGTCTGTATTAAGCTGCTGATGACTAGTGCAATTTTTCTAGGTGGACTTAGCCTGTAAATGGATCTTCCCTGACCACTGAAACTTTGATAGCTTCAATCTTGTCTGGGTTGAAGGATGAAAAAATTGGTCTTGAAATTAATTGAGTGGGGAAGATAATTTAGTTCAGATTGAGGGTGTGTGAACTTGGACTGAAATGAACCTAGGTGGTTTCTATTATTCTGTTTGGGTAACCCTGAGTGTTCTTACTCCCGGTGCTCAAAATCTGAATGTGCTGCTTACTGTTCTTAATTCTATTCCCAGCTGCTCCTTTCTGTGCTGAAGCACCCTTGCAGGAAATGGTGATTGAAGAAGAATACGAGAAGCAGCAGGCAGATGTGGAGATGAAGAAGGAGCTGTGCCCCTATGCTGCATTAGGAGAATGTCGTTACGGAGAAAACTGCGTGTATATCCATGGGGACGTGTGTGATATGTGTGGCCTGCAGGTCTTGCATCCCATTGATGCTGCACAGAGATCTCAGCACATAAAGGTAAGCAAACAACTGTCTGCTGTTTAACAGCTGTAAGTTATTGCTTCCTAGCTTCCCTCAATCACTTGTTACTAATTCCCTTTTATTTGAAGGTGTGTGCAGCTCAGGCAGTGAATGACATTCCGGTTGTAAACTAGACAGTTTCCTGCCAGGGCCATACTCAAAAGCAGCTGGATTTCCTTATCTGTGTTGGGAAAACAGTCTGCTTAAAGATACTGCAGCTTTGTTCTTTGCCTAGTCAAAGTGGATGGTCTTTTAGATTGCCTTTTCATGTTTAAAAGCAGTGTCTGAAGGAAGGAATTTGAACTCTGAATTGATTGTTCTCCAGTACTTAAATTTCTTTTGAGGATGAAGATTTTTTTTTTCAGCTTAATCACAGTTCATGCATTATGCAAAACAGCAAATTGAGTTAAAAAACCTGCTTAGACCTCACCAGATGACCAGTCATCTCTGTAGTTGTTTTCTTTGTGTCTCCTTTTCAGTCTTGCATTGAAGCTCATGAGAAGGACATGGAGCTTTCCTTTGCCGTCCAGCGTAGTAAAGACATGGTGTGCGGGATCTGCATGGAGGTGGTGTATGAGAAGGCTAATCCTAGCGAGCGCCGCTTTGGGATCCTCTCCAACTGCAGCCACACTTACTGTCTCAAGTGCATCCGCAAGTGGAGGAGTGCTAAACAATTTGAGAGCAAGATTATAAAGTGAGGCACTTTCCCATTTCGATTGTGCTTTGTTACTGTGGAAGATCTTAGTAACTTGTGACAACTTGCAACAGACTTCCAGATGCAGACTGCACAGAGGCTGCATTTAATGCATACTAACTTCCGGTTTAGGAGTGAAATAATTGTTAGGGATAACATTTACACTCTGATTTGGTTAATACCAGGTTAAGTTTGCAAAACTCAATGGTAGTAAATAACTGTTGTTTATTTAGTAGCATATTGTCCGGTGGTTACTGTTCATGTTTTGGACACCCAGGCAGGAATCTGGAAACAGATTAACCAGTTCAGAATGTATTCATTACTGCCTTAGAGCATTACTCAGTTGGCAAAACATTTCTCCGTTTAAGGCTGTTCTAGAAAATACAAAGTTCCAATCAAATAAATATAGGAAAAATACCAAAATAAATTTATTTAATTCTAAAGAAAAAGGAGTCTGTGTGAAGTGTTTTTTCAAGCTTTTCTGAGACAAGCTGACCAGCTGCCATTGCCATTGAGTTCTTGAAGAGAATTTAGGTTATCTTCACTTATAAGAGTCTAGATTGAAAAGGTTGTACAGCAAGTATGTGAGTACAGTACCTCTTTAAAGATGGATATGTGCCATGGCTTGTTATATAGGAGAGAGAGCGCCCTGTAATGTGGAATTTTGCAGCACAGTCTGTTCGTTTCCCAGGTCCTGCCCAGAATGCCGGATCACGTCTAACTTTGTCATTCCAAGTGAGTACTGGGTGGAGGAGAAGGAAGAGAAGCAGAAACTCATTCAGAAATACAAGGAGGCAATGAGGTATGAGCAATGCAGCCTTTTATCAAATTGAGACTGCAGCGATTAAAGACACATGTGGAGAAGAAGGGTGTTCATGTAAAGCCCCTTTTCACACTTCCTTTCCACCAGCACGTGTGGAGCGCATCTCTGCCTGTCTGCCCACACATGCATGCACATGGTCCCAAAGTTATTCCTGTGTTCTTGCACCTCAGTCTTCCCCTTCTCTACACAAAGCACTGGTAGTGTAGCCATAAGGCAGTCCAAGGTCGTGCACTGCTCACCATTAGTCTCCCTCTGCATGCATCAGTCCACATACAGTGTAATGAATCATTTCTGCATGTAGGTCTTTCACTCACAAAATGCCTTCTGCTCCTAGTACCTGAGATCCTTGTGGACTGCAGGTAAATGCAGTTCTGAAGTCTGATTGGGGTGTGCTGTCAGTAAGGGTTGCGATATTTTCCTTTCCAGCAACAAGCCATGCAGGTATTTCGATGAAGGCCGTGGCAGCTGTCCATTTGGAGGGAACTGTTTTTACAAGCATGAATATCCTGATGGCCGTCAAGAGGAGCCACAAAGACCCAAAGTAGGAACCTCAAGTAGATATCGGGTTAGTGCTGCTGATTGTCCTTCCAATAGACAGAGAGCACAAGAGGGGTGTGCATTATGTCTTCTGCCTTGAGAAGAGGATAGGGAAATACTGACTTTTCTTTTTTCCACTTCTGATAGACCTCTGTAATGGTGAATTTGAAGGAAGCGGTGCGCTAAAGTTTGTGATTGCTGGAGGCCAAGATGGAAAGACTAAATTTAAAAAACTTTCTTACAACATACTGAAGTAAAAATGTTGGGTAGCAGTAATAGGGGTGTGTGTAAGGGTTAATTCTGCTAGAGGTCAGTATCTCCCTGAAAGAGAAATGTGATTTCTTGCATGTCAGAAAGTACACCAGGGGCATGTCAGCCTCTGGAAAGGCTCCTGCTTTGTACCACTGGGTCACCTGGGGAAATCCTTGTGTTCCATTTGCAGGCCCAGCGGAGGAACCGGTTCTGGGAGTTCATTGAGGAGCGAGAGAATGGTGATCCCTTTGAAACCGACGAGGATGAGGTGGTGACCTTTGAGCTCGGTGAGATGTTGCTTATGCTCTTGGCAGCCGGAGGTGATGATGAGCTAACGGATTCTGAGGATGAGTGGGACTTATTTCATGATGAGCTGGAAGATTATTACGATTTGGATCTATAGCACCTGTCAGTGGAGTGTGGACTGTTGTCTTGGCTTCAGGCAGTAGCTATTACCTGTGGTGTTGTGGCAGTGCCTGTGTTTCTCCTAGGCAGGCCGATCAATTCCAGGTGCTGTTGTAATAACTTTTACCCAGGGTCTGTCTCTTTCCTTCCCCTCCTTTCCCACCCCAGGAGTGTTGTTTTTCCTCTGTTTCAACAAATAACAATAAATAAATCTTAAAAATGTTAGTTTTTGTAAAAATAAATTTAACTGTCAGACAGTTAGCTTAGGTTTGTTGCTTCATCTGTGTACCCAACAGAGTTCACCCAGTTCCAGGGTTAAAGTGTTTACAGGACTTCCACACTCATTTTGAAGAGCCCAGATACAAAAATGAGCAGTGGCCATGCAGTGGGGATGTAAATTGGCTGATGGCCTTTGTTCTGTCTTTGTACCAATATTTCTGATTTCAGGCCAGATACAAATATTCTTTCTGGAATCAGCTCTGTTCCAGCCCCCTCATGTACACGTCTTCATTTGTGACTTTTGGTCTCTGTTTACTTGCACATTACTATAACTACTGTGTAACCAGAACCAGGTGTGAACGTTCTGGATTTTTACTGTGTTTAGCATGAAAGGAAAATGTCTTTGTGAAAGGAGAACTCTCTATGTGTATATACAGATAAATGTAGAGTTGGACCTCAAGGATGGGGAGACTCTGTGTAAGTTAAAAATAACAAAACCATCTTTCACCCCCTCTTGGTGCATGAAGTCTTGCCTCCAATTGGACATGAAACTGGTCTAGTGGTCTCAGCCCAAACTGGGAAACGATCCTGACTGTCGCTTAACTTGATAGATGGCACGCACTAATACACCAGCTCTCTTTCATGTGTACGATTAGGGTTGTCCAGGAGCAGAAATCCGGTTAGCCAAGGTGGGGTCAGAGGAACACCAGAGAGGACCCTTTAGCTTTATCGCTCTGTAAGTTTTAGAACTTCATGTAAACACTTAAGCCGTGAGCTTTGCTAGAAACTTGCTGTGCCTCCCAGCTGCTTCGAGGTACTTGTGCCTCTCTGCAGCTGAGTTGGGCAGGTTGCCTGGTAAAGCTGTTCAGTTTATGTGAGTTACTGCTTACAAAGGCAGTCGTGCAGTTTCTGGCTGTAATTTGCATTGAGAAATTACTTTGCCACCAAAGCCCCAGCACAGGAATTTTAACCTTGCATTACATTATTGCTGTTTTTTATTGACTTGTGGATGCCCCGTGATCTGTTCTCCTGCTGCTCTTGTCCCCTAGACTGCCTCTCCTTTCACTTTTAAATGGAATGAGAAATTGTTCTGAGGTCTATAACGTATTGTTTTGCAGCTGCCTTTTGTAAGAAGCACTTTTCCCAAATAAAAAAAGTAAAAAAAAAAATTAAACAAGAAGTCAGTCTGTTCTTTTAAGTTCGAAGGTTCTGGTTTTTGACTTGATTATATTTGTGTGTGTTTCTGTAAATAAAATGTCACTTACTCTTAACTCCTGCAGAACTGTGTTATGCTTAATACAGAATTCCAGCATTGTTAGAGCCTTTCCAGCAAAGAGCCTGTAATGCAGGAGACACACTCCAAACGGACAACTGAGACAGCTGATGAAGGAATATCTGGGGTCATTAGTAAGAACTGACGTGTCTTGCTTTTTCAGAAGTCAGTCCTCCACTGTTGTGTTAATTTTATTTGCACTGGACAATGCCAGCTGCAGGACATACTCTTATCCATAGTTTCCTATCATCATGCTGTTTGGGCAGCAAGTCTGCACTGCTACAGGCCACTTCCTGAGGCTCCACATGCTTGTGTTCAGATGGAAGCAGTTTTCTGCAGAAATGCACAAAGTTGGAAGTAAACTGCTAGAAGCATATTAAGATGCTGGGGATGTGATTTTAAAAAAAAAGTTGAAGTAAACAGAGTAAAGCCATTTTTGGTTTGTTCAGTTTGTTTTTGTTTTTTTTTCCCCAGGGGCCAAGTAGCAGAGGGAGGAAAGGAATGTAATTTGAGCAAATGACACTTTAAACTGATGAAAGGGAGAAAACAGAAAAAAGTTAAAGCCTCCCTGCCCTACATGGTGAACATAAGTTGTTATATCCTTTTGGAATGCTTCATTCAAATGTGAGTTGGTAACAAAGCTGTGTTCTGATAAGATGGAAAAAGGCAATGAACTTACCAGCCAGAGCACACGTGTGAGCTTGCTTTCATAAGGGATCAGGAGTGCTGTGCTTTACTCCCTGCCTGGGTGTACATGTGGCACAGTGGTGGCTGCTGGTGCTTCTAAATCTTCCTCCTGTACACATTACAGAGGAGGCTGAGAATGCCCACATGAGTGATGTGCTTTGGTGTAGGCTGGTGGGTGGAGCTGCACAGCCACTCGTGTGTTCATGGGCAGCATGAAATGGCTTCTTTTGCTCTGAACTGTGCTGTGGTTCCTGGTGTGCAGGTTCAGGAACTGCCTGTGTTTGTCCCCAGGCCAGCGCTGCTGGGTGCCGCTTCCCATCTGAACTGTGCTGTGTGAGCCTTGTTTCTAAGCTGGCTGGAGCATTGTGATTCCCACCCCCACCAACCTCAGTCTGGGACAGCTGAAAATAGTAGGGTCTCTGAAATAAGTATGTTAGTAGGCTGCTATGTTCTTCCTCTGTGAGAACAGGAATAAATTCAATATAATTAAGCTTATAATGTAAGAAGATGGAGGGTGACAACTTCGGCTGTGCTACATTCTTTTCAAGGAAATACTTAAGGTACAGAAACTGAAAAGGCAAATGAGAGTAGTATCAAGGTAGAAAGGGTATAAAGTCTCCATACATTTCCACCAGCAGAATCTTAATTTCACAATTTTTCAATCAAAAATCTTCACTAAAAGATGGATGCTGTCACTTAAGGTGCCTTGGCTTTACTCCCTAGGCCAGAATACATACATTTCGTTTGATACAAACCTTTGCCTCTTGTGGAAAGTGCAGAATAAGTGTGCTACCTGTTCTCCCTGCTCTGCATGTGCTCGTACAAGGTAAGAGCACTTTTTACAACTTGGGCTGCTTTAGATCAAATGGTGGTAGCACAGCTGGCCTTCATGGCCCAAGGTGGATTGTAATCTTTGAAGAAATACCTGGTTCATTTAATGAAATACACAGTAACTTTCCTACTACTGCTGGTACAGAGGAGATTTGTATTTAGAGGGTACCATGAGCTATGGGGAACAAAACTTAGGTAGATAAAATTATTCATGCTGCAGCAATTTAAAATGAGGGAATTTACATGTAATCCTTTAGGACTGAGATACAATGCAGAACTGTGCTGCAGGAATCAAGTAACTACAAAGTCAATTTAATTGCTAGCATTAGAAAGGCATTAAACTGTAGTTGTGGTGGGCCTCACTTCAGGTTAGCAAAACTAGACAGACTTAGCAGTGAAAGCTTTAAGCAGTGATGTTCATGGACACAGCAGTAGCAAGGAAATGCAGGATTATAAATGTGCTTGACAACAGCTTGATGTGAATGCATCCACAGAAGCTGTGCAGGCAGCTGTATGAAGGTTGATTTACAACAGCAGAATTAAAAAAGTGCTTTAAAAGATTTTTGAAAGCCCTGTCCATTTGAAACCGAATTCCTATTTCAAGGTGAAGTACTCTTAGGACAAAGGGGCTCTTGGCCTGTCTAGAACTATTCTCAAAAGAGTGTGATATCCCAGCATTGCCTGTTGCTGTAGTTCTAGTTCTTAACACAGTTGCTTGAGAGTGGTGCTTGAAAATTATTTCAGGAGCCAGTTTGCTGAGCAATGACTGCTTGGGCCCCTCACACACACCTGCAGGCAAATGTGGGTTCTGGGAGCTGAGAGGCAGGAAAATGCCTGTTGGGGAAGGGGCACCTGTAACAGCACTGCTGTTGGAGCACTCACCTGGTTGAGGGGAGCTTCACTTCCAGTTCTTTGTCCAAAATCACAGGCATGCATCTTCTTCCTGAAAGAAGGCTCCAGGATAGAGTGCTCCACCTCTGTTCAGCATCTGAAAACTGTCTCCCTTCCAACTATACTTAAACATTAACTGGAATGATTAGATAAGAGCCTCTGTTCTTGTAACTGAGAGCCTGTCTCCTGCATATAAAGCAAAGCTGGACCACATAGGCAGTGCTGTGTGTCTTCCACATCACTGGGCTGCTGGGTTGTGATGGCTTTTAACTAGTCAGCTTCTGGGAAGTGTCAGTTTGGAACATTTTAAAATATTTCTAATTATTTTTATTACCCTATTTCACCAATAGGTAATGCTTCTTCTCATCTGGCCTGGCTGTGACACCAATGCAAGTAACGTGCCACAGCAAAGATTCAAATACTTTTTCCCAGTAGATAAGAACTTAACAAATGAGCTCATCTTCAAGCTGAATGTGCAGCTCTTGGAACTGAAACCTGTGGGGCAGTAGTAGTTTTTAAAACAGCGTTGTCAACCTTATAACCCTTTGTACAAATGCATTAACGATGCTGTCATGATGCACTAGGAATTTGCATATGATGCTGGGGAACAAACCATTAACAGAAGGCTCCATAGGAGTTAGCGCTACTTTTGCCTTGTCATAGCTGGGGTTTCCATCTGCTCTCTGATGGGGAAAAGCAGAACCACAGAGCATGCTGAGCATGTATTTTAATCTAGTGGTTCTCACAGTCTAGAATAATGAGGAATTTTTAAAATTTTAAGGGGATTTTTTAAAAGTTCATAGCTTCCTGTATTACCTCACAAGTAACAGCGTTACCAATGTACTCTGAAGAACCTTGTTAGCAAGTGCTGCTCTTCACTCACAGGAGGACAGCTGGAAAAGTAGCTCTGTGGAAACCACTCAGTGTAACTGCCCAAAGGCCTCGTGGAAAACACCAAACAGAACCAACCAAAAGAGGTCACGTTCCTGGTTTAGCTGCACAATGGCTAAGTGTCTAAGACTAAGTTTCTTGGAGGTGTAGGAAGGCTGTTAGACCTGTTAAAGGAAAGGGAACAGTCACAAGCCTGTTCTTCCTGATCCTGTGTTGCACAGCTTTCTGCCAAGAAGGTCTTGCTTTGCCAGTAGCTCCACGTGTGCAGGCAGAGAACAGCAAGAACCCTGAAACCTGGCAGTGCTGGGCACTCAGGATCACAACAGCCTGCACAGTAGTGGCAAATTACGATGGTAAACCCAATGAACCATGCAAAGTTAGCACTCTGCTGGTACCAGCCTTCCTCTAATTTTTGACCAATGAAAGATTGCAAATGGAGATGAAAGCAATACTTTTTCTATTGTAGTCTTCTGGAAGATACTAAAAAAAAAAAAAAAAAAGGTAAAAATTCTACAACCAGGAATAGAAATATTAAGCTCACATGTGACTGCTCTTGTAGTGACAAGAGCTGTAGAAACTAGTTGTTTGGAAGCTGGCTCATAATTGTGAAAGGCTATGGTATTTGCTTGAATGTGCAAACCAAAATGCAACTACTAGGCTAGTAAAAATGAAGAAGGAATAAAGATTTAAAAAGCAAACTTGAGAAGGAGGATGCCTGAAGACGAAGCTTTCTCCACAGCAGGCTATAGCAAGAGGCTAGCATGGAAGGTTCCTCCCTCAGCTTACAAAGAGCTGAATTAACCCCTGCTCTTTGCATGTAATAGCAAAGAACCTGGCCAGAGGAAGCATTAAGAACATTAGAAATATTTCCAAGACTATTACTTAATTATTCATTCTCCTTTATTTTTTTGTGCTTCTAAGACAAGATTTTCCAGCAATACTTGCTACATGTTTTTCCCTATTTTTCAAGGACTTAGGAAACAGTGGCAGCCAGCCATTGGGTAAGCTGGCAACACCCTAGCCTTCCCAAGGCTGCTTTGCATGTAACACAAACCGTGTTTTATCATTACAGAGTTGGAGTTGCAGTTCATAGCTAAACAGTAATGAAGTGATACACTTTGGTACATGTGGACTGTAGTCAAAAAAAACTTCCTCTGATATTTCTTTCCTCCTCCTCCTTCCCTGTTTCCATCTACTGGGAAGAAAACTTGCAAGCAACAGGAAAATAAACAACCTCAAAACCCTCACCAAAAAAGCCCCAGCCCAAACCCTTCATTCAGTTCAGGTATACAGAAAAGTGAGCCCCAAGTAGCAGAGCTTGCAATTGGGAGGAACAATCCAAAACCTTCCATTGCTACCACCATGTTCAGTCTCCACAGCAGCAGAAGATATACTCACCTAGGGCAGCTGTCTGATGCACCCCATGCCATTGCCATACCACTCTAACACAATGTAAATTTTTAACTTTTTACCTAATTTAAACCATCTCACCCCTTGCTGAGTTTTACAGGAGCTTGCGTCCATCCTTCACACTCCCTTGAATATCTACAGGGATACCCTCAAGCTGCCATTGGCCCATCACACAAGCTGCAGAAGGCTTTTGGTTAAAATCAGCACATCAAAAGCAAGATGAAGTTAGCAGGGAGGAATGAAAAAAAGGTCCTTTCACTTGAAGCTTTACTGCTCCCAGCAAAGCATGTAGCAAGATGGAGAATGGTACTGGGAACAATCCTGACTATTACAAAGCAAAGTGAAAGGCAACTTTTCTCACCCTAGGAAGAAGTGTATCATTCTGCCTGCTACACCACCCTTGAGATGTCTCCAGGTTTGTCTGGTGAGGATGTGAAATCCTCTACTCTTTCACAGATGTTATTAAGCTCCTTGGTATGGGTGGCTACCTGCCTGACCTCAGGAGAGCTCCTAAATGAAAGTTTAGGCAGAGTGGGTTAGTGCTGTCCAAGCATGTGTCAGATTTTACAGCTACTGCCAGAGAGGAAAGCGCTGAAAACCAGCAACACAGCTTAGAAGGGTCAGTGCAGAACTCTGGTGCAAATTTATCTTCTGACACAGCCAGAAAGACATGTAAGGAAATAATTAAAGGCAATAACTTTTATAGTTCTCTTTGGTTAGGGCAAGGCCTGGCAGCTTCCTGAGTCCTCTCATCTCAGAAGTTCACATTGCTATGTTCAAAGCAACCTATGCTACCAACAACAATGATCTCTGAAAATACTCACAAGCCAAACTGCAAGGTAGGAATATCAAGAGAGATGGCTTGAGGCCACATAAAACACTTTCATCTACTGAACAAAACTGAATCAAACAGCCTCAGAACTATGGTGGTTTCCAAGTTCTCTCTGAAGTCTCTCTTAACAGGAGCACTGGGTCTTCTCCACACTTGGACTGGCAACCACTGGCCTGGAGTCAAGACTGAAGCTGTTTGGAGGGTTCTCCCCATGAAGCTGTAAGGTATTTCGGGCTATCAGCTCCTTAGCCATTAATGTAAACACCTCTTCTATGTTTTGAGCTTCTTTTGCTGATGTTTCCAGCACAGCTAAGAGCCCGTGCTTCTCTGCAAGGGTGCAGGCATCTTCAAACAGCACCTGGCGTTTGTCCAGCGAATCCGATTTGTTCCCTTAAAAGAAGGCAAAGAGATCCTTCAGCCACTTAGTCCATCAAAAATTTGTTTTTAAATGAGATGCAGGAATTCAGTTTTGTTAAACAATAGATTTATGTTAGCAGTAAGAGTTACTGGATAGAACAAGATGTGAGAACATCAGAGCCAAAAATATAGACTGTGATTTAAAACTGCAGCAAATCATATGATAGCAGGAGATGAAATCAAATAAAAAGCTAAAAACCTGTGCTCATCTGATTACTTACTGTAGGTAAAAGATTATTTTGAAGTAACTCTTGGTCATGTTCCCTAGTAGTTTTAAATGTTAAGTAGCCTTTAAGTTGAATTTTTTTTTTTTATCTTTTGGGGTGATGTAAAAAGAAAGGTAAGAATTCAAATCAGCTACCTTAATGCCTAAAATATATACTTCTTCTTGCATGTATAGATTAAACTTTTACTTGTGGCTCTTTAGTCAGAATCTATCATTAAACACCTCAGATAAAATATCTTTGTATATTTAGGCAGTTGCAGCACTTGTGGATTAATCAGTTCTAGTAGCTGGCTGAAGTCTACATTTATAGTTTCAAGACAACCTTTCATCAAATTAATGTCTTGAATATATATAAACTAACTACCCTCCCATAAAGTCCCTTTAAGTATTTCTAAAAGAAAAAAAAAAAAAAACAAAACTAAACAAAACAAACCTACCCCACAAAAAAAACACCAACAAACAAACAACAAAACAAACCACAAAAAACAAAACCCCAAAAAAACCCAGCCAAAAAAACTACCCCAGCTTGAGGGTTATTTGCCTTCTTAAGAGGAATCCACCTGCCTTTTCCTCCTTCAGTTCCAGATAGGAAAGTTAGGTTTCCTAACCTTAACCTCCTGCTAGAAAGGTGTATAACATGACTAAGCGTAATTAAATGTACAATGACTTCTGCCAATGTTAGTAAAGCAAACACCATCAGCTTTGGAAGAAAGCACCAAGCTGGATCCTTAAAAGAAGCTTAATTTTTTAGTAATTCCAGAACTTTTCTCTCTAAAAAAAACCCAACAACCACCACCCCGTCCACCACACACAGATAAGTCTCTTTCTTTAGATTCAAGACAGAAGTTAGAAAAAACCAGCCAAAATGCAGCGATTTACACCTCCCCTATCCCCAGTTCCAAGCGCTGCATTAGAGAATTTACAGTTTGCTTCTTCCAGAGGAAGGACAGGAGAAATCTCCGCAGCACAGGCACGGAGGGTGCTGGGAGCAGAGGCAGCAGCTCAGGGGCCCTGCCTGGGGCTCACTGCTTCCCCAGCCCCGGCTGCTGAGCTGCTCTCAGCACACTGCAACAGGCTCAGCCACGCCAATGGAAATAAAGGCAAGAAAGGCTCCGGCGTTTCACCACACCAGTGTTCTCATTTGCAGCTTCTTCCCTGGGGGAAGGAAGAGCAATAATAACCATGAAACCCAAGGGAAAGGAACTGCGCCTTCCTACCAGTTCCATTCCTGGCAATTCCCCGCCACTGCTTTCCTCAGGGACGCAGTTTCCTGAGCGCTAGGGGAATGCAAGCCAGGCTACTCCACACTCTGCAAAAGCCATCTCCCCATCTATTGTCTTACCTGCTCGGAATCCCATTACAGAGCAATGCGCATGCATATCAAGAGAGCAGAGAGGAAAGATGAGAACCAGGAGTCTGTGCATCCCCCTTCACCTTGAATTATTGAGCTGCTACATTCCTGTGTAGCAGGAGTACAGGGTCAGGCTTACTGCAGTTCTAACCTCAACAAGGTGCTCCCTGCTCCAGCCTGGCAGCAAAGCTTGTTGTGTTATTCCAACACGAAAGGACCAACTGAAAAAGCATTTTGCTGTCTGCAATGGGTTTGGTCCTGTCAGGAGTAGGTTATGATTTTCCTCATTTTTTTAAGCTTTTCAGCTTGAATTGACACACTTGGTGATCTATTTTAATTAGAACTGAATTCTTCCTTAATGCATAGTGTATAGATGCTTCAAGTAGTGGTAGGAAACGGGGGAGATTTTATATCCTTATTAAAATCTACATAACACAGTATTTAAAACTAAAATCCTACCAATTAACATCATGACCAAGTTTGCAGCACCATACTTTTCAATTTCATGAATCCAGTGAGGAATGGATTCAAATGTGGACCTCCTAGTAAGGTCATAGGCAAGGATGGCCCCATAGGCACTCCTGTAATAAGACTGGGTTATTGTCCGGAAGCGCTCTTGACCGGCTGTGTCCCACACTTGCATCTGTAAGAGAAAGGACAGAAGTTGTAAAGACCAGTGAACACCATTTTCCTAGGTGCTTGCCCTCAGTATTTGAAGCCCTTTGTCCAGAAGGCAGCCAGACCTGTCCCAGCTCACTCTACTACACCAGTGTGGCTTTGCCTTCCTTAGATCCGAAAAGCCATTTACAAGCATGTAGAGTCAATCTACACAGACCAAAGAGAAAGCTCCAAGGGTAAACCCAGCTTTGCAAAGAGGCCAAAAAACCCATTTTCAACAACTGTAGCAAAAGATATAGAACATTACAGCCTTTTAAGAAGAGTAAAGAACCCTAATACAGGGCTGGGCAAATCTATATATAAAAGCCAGGCATCCTAACTTTCATCTGCACACAGAGGGAAGTTCTAGCTGACAATTTCTTCTGGTGTTTGTCTTGGAAGTCTTCTTCCCTCAAATTAAGCACACTTGAAAGTGGAGCCTTTGCAAACTTTGGGGGTTTTCCCTCCTTGATGTACCAGCTCAAACCCCCACATCTCTGGAGGGAAGACACATCTCCAAATTATAGCCGTCTCTCCAAAGAACTCCCTGCAGGCAAAGCACAAGCCCTCTCCTCAAGTAGATGCAGGGAAGTCATGAGAGCAAGTATGTACCCAAATTAGGGTGCCTGCTTCCCCAGGACATCTTCCTGAGAGAAAGCTCCACTAGGAAACACCCCTGGTTAGAAAGGCAGCCAGCTTTCTCCAGCTGCCTTCGGCAGGGCCGAGCAGGAGGTGCCGTGCGTCCCGCCGCTTCCTGGCACGGGAAGGACGGCACGGCCAAGGTGCTGCTCGTCAGGAGGCTCGGGCTCGCTCCCGCCACCGACCTTTACTTTCTTGCCGTCGACGTCCATCGAGCGCACAGTGAAGTCGACGCCGATGGTGTTCTGCTGCTTCTCGTTGAACTGCCCTGTCTTGAAGCGGTGCACCACGCACGTCTTCCCCACGTTGGAGTCGCCGATCAGGATGATCTTGAAGAGGTAGTCGAAGGCATCATCCGCGCCGGAGCTGGGGAACGGCATCGCGGCTGCCGGGTGGGCCTGCGGCCAGGCGGGGGAGGAGGAGGAGCCGCAGGCCCGAGGAAGGAGCCCCGTCCCAGGCGCTCACCTGCCGGCGCTGCCCTGCCGGGACAGGTAGCGCCGCTCTGTGCCGCCCTGCCGCAGGGCTGGCGGGAGCTGTAGTTCGCCCCCTCCCCTCCCGTCTCTTCCCCGCCGCCCCGCCCCGGGCTCGGTCGAGCCGTACAGGGGCCGGGCCGCTCGTTCCCGCCCCGCGCAGGGGGCGGGCAGGGCCCCGGCGGCGGCCGCGGCCGGACTACAGCTCCCGCCGCTCCGCGGGACCGCCCGGAAGAGCCGCCTCCTCCCGCCGACTTCCTCCGGCCGCGCTGGGCGCCGCGCACGGTGGGCCGTGCCGTGCCGTGCCGTGCCGTGCCGTGCCGTGCCGTGCCCTGCCCTGCGCTGCCCGCTCGGCTCCGCTCCCGCCGTGCCGAGGACGTGGCCCCAGCTCCCGGAGGGAGCCGCGTCCTCCTCGGGCTGGGCTGGGCTAGGCTGCGCTGCCGTGCCCGGGGCGGGAGTGCAGCCCGGGTCCTTCTCGGAGCATTTGGGTGCTCGGGGCCGCCCCTTGTCCTTCCTCCCGGACAGCATCCGGCGGGGCGTCCGCGGTGACACACGGTCTGCTTGTGCTGGCTGCCGAGGGCCCCGGGTGGGTTTGCGGTTGTGCCGCTGTTCTTTTGTCTCTTCGGAAAAATGGCATAGGAGTGTGGGGGTTTGTTGTTTGGGTTTTGATGGGGTTTTATTTGTTTTTAAAAATTATTATTATTTGGAAGAAAAAATACTTTCGTTTGTTTTGCACTTTGGAATATTAAGGCTGCGCATTCCTGCCGGCTTTGGAGGGCAGTAAGGTAGCATTAAGGGTGTTTATTTTGAACTTAAGGTGTCTTATTTTGCCTTTAAGTGAAAGGATAAGGTAGAACACCGAGGAGAGCTTAACACACAAGGGTGAAAGCCTGTCAAAAGCCAGAATACTGGCTGGCTGTAGGTAAGTAGTGCTAAATAGTTAGATGAGGCAGTCTAAACTCTAAAAGCACTTCTCTTCCTTTCTTAAAGGCATGTGCTTCACTGTCTTGAGTTCTGTGCGTCATCCTGATGCCGAGCTCTTCCTCCACCGCAAAGTTACTGTGGTGTTCTCACAATAATTAAAAGACTAACTTTAAAGAAGAAACTGGTTGCAGACTTTACTAGCTTAGGAAGAATGCCAGTTTTGAATATAGAAAGTGCAGGATGAAGATAGAGAGAAAATAAAATATTTTGTGGTTGTCTCTACACTATGAAAATGTCCTGTGCCAGAAAGCCTTCTAGAAAGAAGACCTGAGATTGGGAAGCTCTGAGGAACAGATTGTTCCAATAGCAAATGCTGTTTAAAAAAAAGCAGATGACTTTAAGGTCAAACCAGGTCTTAGCTTTAAAAGGACTCAGTATCTTGGACAAATAAGAACTATATTTGCATATGTTGACATGAAGCAAGTAGTAAATCTTGTGCTTTGGGCTGCAAACTGATTACCCAAGGAAGGAACTTTTCCCCACAGCGTTGCACAACTGGCAGTGTTTTGGTTTCCTCGGGACAGCTCTGTTATCTGCCTGGTGGGAGGGGAGGGAGAGCCAAGGAACCTCTTGTATTTGACCAGCAGACTATGTGGCTCACAGGCTGGGAAACTGGAGTGCCTTGGCTTCCCTTCTCAGTGCAGCTTGTGTGGGGGACAGCCCTGAGCTGTAGGGTTACTGCTGCACTGTGTGGTACTTGTGTGGGGGCTGAGTCTTCATTCACTGGTGCTGAGAAATGGTCTGGGACCTCAGGTGAAGGTAGTATCAAGACTGCTTGCAAAGTTGCCTCTTCAGGGCTAGTCTTGCCTTCCCACAGCTCCAGCTGTAGGCACTTTTTTTTTCCTCTGTGTGAACCCAAGCAGTCTAGACATGTGTCCCTACAAGGAGGTGCTGTGTGCCAGCTGGAGCAGTGGCGGTGTGGCTCAGGAGCTCCTGGGCTGTGTGGAGACTGATGGTGTCAGGTCCTTGTACAGACTCACTGCATTTGCCCTGCATGAGAATAGAGGTATTCAGGTGTGGTCTAGGATAAATGTGACTCTGGTGTCTCAAAGCTGTCATAGCTGGGTCTGTGTTACTCAGAGGATCTCCCTGCCACTCTCTGTTTTGGAGGTCAGATGGTTCACATATCCAGCAGTAGGTGGATATTGCTGTTGGTCAGGCATGTGTCACCACTGGGAGAACAGGAAGGGAGACTGCCTGCAGTGAAAGGTATCTTGATGAAAGCTTTAAAAGGAGGAATAGAAAGTCTGTAAAATAAAGAGTTTTCAGTAGCCGAAATTTGGATGAGAGGCTGTCTGGGCAATGAGTTCTACTTTCTCCAGGTGTGGTTATGAAGCTGAACTTGAAAATACTTCTGTCAGATGTGCAAATAATTACAAACAGCACCTGTGGATACAAAAGGAGTCAAAAGCATTGTATTCTGTCTTATTTCAGTGCTGATCCTATGGGGGAGCAGGAGTGGTGCTTTAGTTTACCTCTCCTCAGCATTCAGAATGTTTGTGGCGTTGAAATGTTTCTGAAATGTGTGGAGAGAGATTCATCCCGTCACTGCCCAGTGGGGCTGTTTCCCAAAATCTGTTGGCAAACATCATCCCTCGGCCATGCCAGCATGCACAGCTGGGGCATTGGAGTGGTGTGACATGGAGCAGCATGAGGAAACTGTGTGTCTGTGATGGTCTTCCCTCAGTAATGATAGTTTCTGGTTGTCTTGAGGTTGAGGCAGGTGTCACCCATGCCCTACACCCATGTCCTGTAGGGACAGGAAGGTGTGACTTGTGTGCTGTACTAATGAGCTAGGGACTGATGGAGCTGTAATGTCAGGCTTGAGAATAAACAGGAAAGGATTCCAGCTGTTGGATTTCAGCCCTGTCCTCGCAGCTACTTCCCTTCTTCTATCTATGCAAGTCCACTCTTGGGCATATTCCTTCAACAGCATCTTAATGAGGCAGTCAGATCCCAAACCCTTCTCCAGCCATAGCCAAATGCTGCTCTTGTGGCTTCATAACTTGTCTGTGTCCAGCCAGGTAGCAGCAGAAAGCTCTTATTTATGGTCACTCTGTAGTGCACCATGTGTGTAAATGCTGCACAATGGTCTGTAATGGGAGAATGCTAGAAATTGGTTGATCAGGGGGTACTCCTTTGATCCTGGGCACTGAAGAGGCATCTGCTAGGAGAGAACCAAAACAGAAGTGCCATGAAGGTACTGGGAGAATGGGCATAACAAGACACCTTAAGCCATAGAAGTTACTGAAGAATGTACAAGTGATGAACGGGTACTTGTGTGAAACAAGTTGGAAAGGCATGGCATGGTGTTGTTCCATCTGGATTCGAGCTGCTTGGGGAACAGAGCAGAACTTCATACATGTGTTTTAATTCAAATTGGTTTTCTCTTCTCCTTTCCAATCTTCTTCTGTTTAAGGGAGAAGAAGAATGACTTAATCATCATCCAGCCCTCGTGGCCAAGGCAGGAGCAGGGCTAGGGCTGCCAGGAACATGGCTGTGCCTGGAGGCTTACGGAGGCAGCCTGCCAACAGAGGTCTTGTGTCCCACTGCACCCACCATCATATTGCTGTGTTCCTGCTGACCTTCTTCAGGTAGGTTGAGTGTACTCTGCTCAGAGATTGGTATTTCCACCCTTTCTCCAGAGGAGATTGGGCCAACCTGTGTCTGTGTGTTTCCTGGCAGTTATTCCCTGCTCCATGCCTCCAGAAAGACATTCAGTAATGTTAAAGTCAGCATTTCCAGCCAGTGGACTCCCTTCTGCCTAAACAGCACGGTCCCCAAGCTCCGCCCATATGAGGTAAGGACACAAGGTAGAAGGAAGTGCTAGGAAGGGTGGGCAGCTGCCGGTGGGCTGAGCTTGTGGGGCTGAAGAAGCCCCTTTAGGTGTTCCTCACTTCTCAGCATGTGAGTGGAAGCTTCAGGTGTTGGCATTGTAGTTTTATGAATCACCAGGCGATGCTGAAAGCTTCCCAGAAACTTCTCAAGAAGCTACAGTGTTCCAATGGAAAGGAGGGCTCCAGAAGAGTCTGCAATAGGCAGTAGCATGGAGGAGGGGGAAGAGTGTCTCTCTCTGAAGGGTTGGAGGCAATAAACCAAAGCAGTTAATGGGCTTACAGAGAGTTTTGTCAAGTCTTGGCTGTGCTTTTTCTGTGGCAGTGGTGCTGCTGCCACCCTCAAAAGGATAGCCAAACTAGGAGACAAGAGACCTGTCTGACAATGCTAGCTGTTTGTCCTAAATTGATGGTGGAGAATGACATTTTGTCTTGCATCTGAAAGGCCTGATTTCCATGCTGAACATCCAGTACCCCTTGTCTGTAAAATCCTGGTTTCAGTTAAAGCAATGGGAGTTTTGGCAGTGCTTGCTTGCAGGAAAGGAAGTTTTAAACTGCTTGGTTCTCACAAATGGGAAGGCAAGAACTACCTCCTGGTTCCTACCATGGGGTTTTTAGGGCTTTTTTTTTTTTTTTTTTTTGGTAATGCTTTTGAGAGGTGGAAGAAATCTCACATCAAAAGCTTGGTCACAGGCCATGAGATCTGTTAGGGCTGGGAGTTTTAAGTCAGCTGCTGGAGCATAGAAATCATTGGTTATTTGAATGTTTGACAGAAGGAATAGAAGGATGATAAATGCTGACTTCTTGTGATAAGTGAAAACAGTACATTTGGCTTGTAATGTGTTCAGGATTTTATAGTATGGCCAAAAGGAATAAGCATCTCAGGGATGCTAAAACAAAATGCAAGGTGTTTATATTTAGTTCCTTAACTAACATTCAAACAACTAGTATATTTTGGAAGCTGTTTTGATTTCTTTTTAAAATATATAGATGGTTTGGTGTTTGCTGGATGTTGAGATGCATGTGTCTGATCAAGAAAAATGGTCAAACTGATCCTTTAGTTATCAATTTATGTTACATCTGTTAAACCCAGTGGATGTATGATCAGTGTTGTCAGTACAGGATGTTCTCCTGGAGAGGTAGAATCAAGCTGAAACAGGTGATATTTGAGTTAGGCACATCTGTAGGTCGTACTTGGGTTGGGTTTGTTTATTTTCTAATGGAGGCATGGTGGGAAGGGAAGGAAACTTTGTTCTGATTAACTTCATTAATTCTTCAAATTATCCTCAAAGCTTGCTATT